ATATAGCAATGCAGCCCTGTACTAAGGCATTTGCACTAAAAATAGAAAGGATTGGAGGTCTGTGAAAGGTATTGTGAAGATATAATCAACAAGATTTGAAAATGCTGTGAATGTGGGTGGTGAGGGAGAAGGAGGCAAAGATAACAGCCAGGGTGACTGAGTTAATGGCAGTGGCACTGACAGAAATAGGCACATGAATTAGGAGGAAAAAAATAAAAGGAACAAGAACATGAAAGCCTGCATGGGAAAATTATAATATACAGAAGACTTTATGTAACCAATTTGTCCCTCTAAAAACCATCAAGCCAACTGTTTTTTTTTTTCCAGAGAAAATTAAGGTACCTCTCAAGATGAACATACTGCACATATACATACATATGAGAAGTAAAAGTAGTGGATGTACTAAAGACATTACATTAGAAAATACAGAATAATCAGAAGGAAAGAAAAAACATGTGACTTCATTAGTGAGTAAGCAAATGTGAAAAATACTACATTGCTAACACCCCAGAGAATCCAGTATTCTGTATGAAAACCAATGATCTGTTCAAGTCAATAAACCTTTGTTTAACACCTACTGTGTGCAAAGCACTGTGCCAGGCACTGGGAGCCACACAATATTTTGCTAACATCCAGCTTACTTTCTGTTCTCAGAGAGCTTATAACCCAGTAGGATCCAGGGGGAAAATGAGTATTCCCTTTTTACCCGATTATGCATTCTTTAATAGAATGCCTCCACTTCAGTTCATCTTGGCTTGGGAATGGTGCTTCCAAATGTCACTAGAAAAGCAGTGGCCTTCCTGCCCCAGACATTTTAAAACACAAAGTAAGAATTCCAATGGGCCAGCAGCAGGTGCTGGTAATCCAGGCCTTCCATCGTAAAGGTTTTCATGTGCTCAACTCTCCATGTCTTCTTGTCAGATTATAGCTTCACAATGTCTTTAATTGAAAAAATATGGGTAATTTTGAAGTCAGAAAAACAAAGTACCGATTACTAAAAGAACTAATTATTGCCTTCCTTTCCTCAGAAGATGTGTTAGTTTAATAGACATACACAGTACGGGTCTGCATCCCCAGCTAGAGATACTCAACATTCCACACTCCTGCTGGGAATTCTAACTGTCATAGCCTTTCCTGATAAGGTTTATGGATTTTTCTTAAAGCCAAGGAAATATGTGTAATTAAGATGATGTCCTAAACTAGAAACTGAAAGGGAAAGGTTAGGGAGTGAACCATTGGCAGGCTGTGTGGCCAGGCTTCCCCAGGCAAACCACTATTAGCCCACTCCAGAAGGAAGCCAGGATTCCAGGCATGCCAGGATTTTCATCAGGTTTCTAGGCAAACTTGCAAGAGCTTATGTCCTCTTCCTAGCATGAGTCTAAGACAGTGGTTCTCCATCTTTTTGGTCTTAGAACCCCTTCCCCTTTACATTCTTAAAAACTGAAGACTTCCCAAGAACTTTTGTTCATGTGGGTTACAATCTATTAATATTTACTCTATTAGAAATTTAAATATCTTAGCATTATTATGAAAAGAGGTTTGACCTTTCAGACCCTCTAAAAGGGTATTAGGGACCACCAGGATTATGCTTGGAGAACCACTGGCTTACACTTATGCTGACAACTCCTATACCAGTAAGTACATTAACATCACCAATCCCATAAGGACATGACTCCAAGTGTCTGTCACAAGCAGAAATTACACTGATTGTGATTTTCACTTGAAAAGAAGATTATACTTCAAAAGCATACAAATGCTTGCTTTAACATATAACTGTTCTAAAGCTATGAAAATGTATGTGGTATGCCAATTTTCATTCAGAAACAGAACAAATATCAAGTTGGATATTTCAGTAAGTAACCCAATTACAATATATTCCTCTGCTTAATGCATTTTAAATATCTGACCTTTATTAAAATTGATGGGCACACTGATTATGTGATGAAGGTAAATTATGAAAACACCGTACTGATGCTAAGAAATCTACTTTTTTTCAACTCAATGTGTAACATCTTATTTTCTCTTATACTTGTGTCTGAAATATATTCTTACTAATAACACAAGTCATTGCCCCTACTGAACTTTTTCCTATAATAAAGACAGTTGCTAATCCAATTAAATGATAACATTTTCTTTTAAAAGAAAAAGTCATGCTGAATCCTAGGTAAAAGTAAAATTCAACTACATTTTTACGCTAACAGATAATGTAATCTATTAGGCATCTTCTTCAGTAAGGTTACTAAGTTAGTAGATGGGGACACTTGTAAGAAGGCACTTAAAAAAGCCTCTCATATTCTTGCGTTTGGATCAGTTTAGAACTACCTGAAAGAACAAATTGAAAGAGCACGAAGAGATGAACACTACAATCAAGAAAGTCTGCAGAGGAAGACCATGGGATATTTGCCCCAGCATTTTCCTATTAAATATTTCACAGTAATTTCTATAAATGCCTTGGAAAAAAATATATATATACATATGTGTGTATGTATATGTGTATGTATATGTGTGTGTGTGTGTGTGTGTGTGTGTGTGTATACTCATCAAATTCAGAGATAACACAAAGCTAGGAGCGATAGTTAATATATTAGATGAAGAAATCAAGATGTAGAAAGAGCTTGAACTCTAGAAATGCCGGACAAAAACAAAAACAGCCCCCAAATGAATACCTCTTCACATAGTGATGCTTCCTGAATGCCTTCCTAGAGACGTTCCTTTCCAAATTGAAGCAGGCCAGTCCTTGGGAAAACAGTTCCCTATTAAATTCCACCCTCCTCCAAGCCTTTCCAGCTGGGCTAGATTTGGTAGAGCTTACATTCCCCTGGTGTAGTCTCAAGGTCATAATGAGGCATCCAAGGAAGATGTCAATTGGAGTTATTTATGACATTTCTCATAATCAATCTATAAAGCTGAAATTTAGGGACACAATTATTGTCTTAGTAATTTCCTTCCTAAATGTGATATTTCACTAACTTCTCTGGGTATTTCAGATGGTGGTGTATTAAATCACTCACTGCCTACAAAAACTGCTTTATAATGTCTTTGATCTTCCAACAAGTGGGTGTGTAAGAATGGTGGGCAGCAAAAAGAAATGGCCAAGTTACTCTTCATGTACTCAAACACAAAGAATTATTTATGGTTACGAGTATAAACAAGAAAATTGCTCCATTTTATATTTTGCTTTTAGTTCCAAAGCTCTATTGTTATTTTACGTCTCCAAACTTTGTTTCTTCACTATGATGCCAAGTAGATTCTTCCTGAATGACTTCTTTAGAAAACTAATACATTTTCCCAAGATAAACTACATTCATGAAAAATGCCTTCCAAGAACCTGGATGGTATTCTGACTGAAGACACACAACCATCACACACAGATGAATGTTCCAGGGGTACTATGATCTAGGAAATCTTTGATCTTTGATGTATTATGTCATTTAAAGTGTTTCTATTTAATGCCTAATTAATTTGGTTGACTTTTCCCTTAATTCTAAAACTCCAACTGAAGTAAAACTTAACCAAGAATTTTTTACCTGGTCACCTGGATTGTTTCTGATGCTCTAAGTTAAATACTATGGGTATAATAATGATAATGATGATGATAATAATAATGATAATAGCTAATAATTATATAGCACTTTAAGGTATAGAAAGTACTTTACAAATATTGTACCCTTTGATTCTTACAACTTTGGAAGGTACATATTAACATTATCTCCATTTTACAGATGGGGAAACTGAGGCAAATAGAGGCGGTTTACCCACGGTCACACAGCTAGTAGGTGTCTAAGGCTAGCTTTGAACTCAAGTCTTCCTGACTCCAGGTACACTGCTCTATCCACTGCGCCACCTAGCACTGCACAATCCTATTACATCTATTTGAGTGAGCAAATGCATTAAAGTACAAGTGTGCATAATAAATAGTTTTCACATTTTCAAAAACAAGGGTTTTGTCATAATCTGCTTTGTAAGTATCCTCTCAAACTTTAATCTAAAACTGGATTTTGGAAATATAAAATTCTAAGTCAGAGGACCCTCCTTTGAGGAAAACGATCAACCTACAATATCTGGAGTACAAGAATAGCATAAAAGATGCCAACTGCTTAGCTCTATGATGAACTACCAAAGTCATGACATGGAGCACATCTCATCAGGTGCCCTAAGGACTTGTAATGAAATTCGTTCAGCTTCTTGGTTGCTTCCAGACTAGGATAAGCAATAATTTAAAAGTATATGTGTTGTACAATGATCAACTGTGAATGACTTAGCTATTCTTAGCAATACAATGATCCAAGACAATTCCGAAGGACTTATGATAAAAATGCTCTCCACCTCCAGAGAAAGAACTGCTGGAGTCTGAATGCAGATTGAGGCATTCTTTTTTTTAAACTTTCTCTATTTTTCTTTTTTTTGGTCTATGTTTTCTTTCACAACATGACTAATATGGAAATATGTTTTGCATGACTGCACATGCAAAACCTCTATCAAATTACTTGCCTTCTCAATGAAGGTGAAGAGAAGAAAGGGAGGGAGGGAGAGAATTTGGAACTCAGAAAAAAAGGTTAAAAATTGTTTTTATATGTAATTGGAGAAAGATAAATATTGATTACTTTTTTAAAAAAATGTATGTGTTGACAGTCAGTGTAACTGAAAACAGTATTTGGGCAGTGTGGCAGCACAGTAGATAAAGTGCTGGGCCTGAAGTCAGGAACACTCTTCTTCTTAAGTTCAGACACTGGGCTTAGACACTGACTAGTATGTCACTTCACTCTGTTGGTTTCAGTTGCCTCATCTGTAAAAAGAGCTGGAAAAGAAATGTCAAACCACTCCAGTATCTTTGCCAAGAAAATCCCAAATTGGGTCACAAAGACTCAGACACAACTAAAACAACTGAACAACAGTAAAAGTAATTACAAAACTCAATAAGCAACTAGAATGCTTTTCTTGTCAACATCTGTAGCAAATGCTAACTGTGAGCTGACTGTGTGGGTCTCTCTACTACATACCACAACTCCAAACTGTTCTGGCTCACAGAGGTCAGCATATTCATCCTTCAGTTGGGCTAAGGCACTAAGTTCCTTCTGCTCAGGAAGATTCTTTACCAGGTTCTGAAAGAAAGTAATAAGTATACACAAACGTATTGTTAGGTAGGTCCTAGTATTTATATGTAAAGACAAATATTTCAGGAGAGGAGATCTAAGACAAAGCTTTCACTATGGCTCTTTGCTAGCATAAAGAAAATGTCTACTCTTCCCCAGTGGAAGGGACCCCACACTGGACTCATGAGCATTTTTACAATGTGTCAAGTGTTTTCCACCCATTAACTCATCTGAGGCAGGCACTACAGGAGTCACTGTTCCCATTTTTCTGATGAGGAAATGGAGGCCTTGCCCATGGCATGGTCACTCATCAGAAGAGGGCACAAATGCTACTCTTCTTGGCCTTGGATGCAGCACTGGAGGCACAGCAACATGTTCCCATTCAAGATGGTCATGACAAAGGTCACCTGTTTATGCTCAACTCTTGGCTACTATGCATAACTTCCCTTAACATTTGAGTAACCAGACATGGCACACAGGCTTCTCTCTCTCTGTGTGTGTGTCTCTCTCTCTCTCTGTCTCTCTCTCTCTCTCTGTCTCTCTCTCTCTCTGTGTGTGTGTGTCTCTCTCTCTCTGTCTCTCTCTCTCTCTCTCTCTGTGTGTGTGTCTCTCTCTCTGTCTCTCTCTCTCTCTCTCTCTGTGTGTCTCTCTCTCTCTGTCTCTCTCTCTCTCTCTCTCTGTGTGTCTCTCTCTCTCTCTGTCTCTCTCTCTCTCTCTCTGTGTGTGTCTCTCTCTCTCTCTGTCTCTCTCTCTCTCTCTGTGTGTGTGTCTCTCTCTCTCTCTGTCTCTCTCTCTCTCTCTCTCTCTGTGTGTCTCTCTCTCTCTGTCTCTCTCTCTCTCTCTGTGTGTGTGTCTCTCTCTCTCTCTGTCTCTCTCTCTCTCTCTGTGTGTGTCTCTCTCTCTGTGTGTGTGTGTCTCTCTCTGTCTCTCTCTGTGTGTGTGTCTCTCTCTCTCTGTCTCTCTCTCTCTCTCTCTCTGTGTGTGTGTCTCTCTCTCTCTCTCTCTCTCTCTCTCTCTCTCTCTCTCTCTCTGTGTGTGTCTCTCTCTCTCTCTGTCTCTCTCTCTCTGATCTTTCTGTTTTGGTCAAAAGCAAAGTTTGAACACATTGATAGTGTTGCCTCAGTGACCAATCCTATGGTTTCTCTGTTAAAGCCTGCATCTGCCTATGCAATGATTTATTCTGAAACTCCCATACTTTAAGTTATTGGGGTTTCAGAATAAACCAATGACAGAGATTGCTGGACTCCAATTCAACAATAAGTTCATTGCATTTGTATCATGTTCATATCATATTAATTTATATCATAAATATGTAAATAGTATTCCAAAATTAAATGAGTTGCTGGGCCTTTAATACGTAGCCAAATATTTCCATCTTCATTTTTAATAGGAAACGTTTTGCCAACTACAGCAAACATTATACAGGCATGTTTCCTTGTATGTGTATGGATGTATCTAAAAACAGAACTGGCTCACAGCCTCATGCAAATTCATCTTCAAAAATTACCTACACTTTACAAAATTTTGTAAAAAAAAAAATTCTGGCCAGCCTAAATCTGATAAACTGTACTTGGCCTAAATGAAAATTCCCCATTATTAAAAATGGCACTATTTATGCACACAATGCATCCCTATGTTTAATGGGGAATTAAGCAAAAATGATAACATCTGCTGCATACTCATGTTTGGTGCCTGGGAGAATAAAAATTGATTAATTCATTTGAACAGCTCCAGCTAATCCTAAACTTTTGGACAGACCTAATTGTTGTCATGTTGGCCTTCAACCAACATGTGAGGAAACTCTATAGGATTTCAATAGGTTAGGAACATGATATTACGATATAAGACAGACATTGACACAAAGCACCCGACTCCCACCAAATAACATCCAAAGAAAGGGTAGTCCAGAGTTTTCTACAGCACATGCTTTGGTTTCTTTTTCTCTTCATTCTTTCCCCTCCCCCTACATTTTACTTTCCCTTGGAGCCCAAGATACTGCTGGCCTGTGACTTAGGAAATATACGGACACATAGATAACTGTAAAATTATGTGGGGACTGGAAATAATTTGCATTATTCAAATACAGAACATTTTTTAATGTAAGCAAAAGGGTAGATTCAGAGTTGTATGTTCAGAAAAAGATAAGTGAAGATTAAAGATTTATTTCTGCTTGTCCAGAGAATGGGGTAAGGAAATATGAAAAAAGCTCTTATCTTTTCAAAATCAAAATATTTGTTGATGCACGAAAATTATTCATATTTTGTTTGCTTGTTGTTAATGCGATTTTGTGAAGTATTCCATTAAGGAAAACAAAGACTGATTCTGATAACTTGAGTGATTTTCACTACAGTGAAAACTAAATTAGAAAGATTAGGGATAATGTTATTAAAATTAGGGAAAAAAACAATTATGCATACATCAAACTCTCTATTTCAATGATAAGTTTTAACTACTAAAACAAAGATTATGGAATGGATAAAGCCCGATGGGGAAATGAACTTGGCGTGGAGACCTTTTTTTCTGTTACTACTACTCCATGCAACAGGTACCCTGCCTATGCTTTGGAAAACTCCATTCGTTTGCTCTTGGCAGCTCTACAAAGGTGAACCCATTCATGGAGCTTGGATCTCTTCTCATTTGAGGCAACTCCTTCCCTTACAAGACAAATACTATACAACTAGCAATGCTCAGTAAGGTCAGGGTATAAGCAAGCAAGTCTCTAGATGAAATGACTTCTCTTGAATTCATGGTAGATTAAAGTTTCTAATAAGGCTGGAAGTGTGAACTGGCGGTCAATGATTCAGCTGCCCCTCAGATCTCAGACTACTAGTGACCAATTGGCCAATCCATAATAACAACAACGATAACAATAATAATAACTAGAAATATGTAGTATTTATGCTAAATATAGTACAGTATAGCATATAGTATTTCTATTAAATAAATGTATATGCATAGAACCTACTACGTGCCAGGTACTGTGCTAAGCACCTTGCAAATATTATCCCATTTGATCCTCACAACAACCTTGGGATGTAGGTGCTATTACCATCTTGAATTTACAAAGGAGGAAACTGAAGCAAACACAGGTTAAGTGACTTAACCAAGACTGCACAGCTAGTCCATGTCTGATGCTGGATCTGAACTCAGGTTTTCCTCATTCCAGGCCCTGTGCTGGAATCCAGTGCACCACCTAAATGTCTCCTGACACTATTTACACATTTTTACACTCATATGTAATTGATGGCAATTCTGAGACATGCTGACATAAAAGCAAACACCTACTTGGAAGGCAAAAAAAACCAAAAAAACCCCCACCAAAACAAAAACTGTGATGCAGAGTGGGAAAGACAGATGTAAGTATTGTCAGTCTTGTCGCTAAACAGTTACATCTTTAGGACTCTATTTTCAACAGAAAGCCCAATTTCAAACGTGAAAGTCAGCACCCTGCTTGAGGCCACTGTTGTTGATATCCTCTCTAAGCCAATGGAAAGGATGAACAGTCCTTGAGGTGACTGCATCCCACCTGGACCTCTTTTTCCCTTGAGATGTCATTACTTAATGTCCAGCAAATGGAAAACCAGTTGAGGGTTGATGATTTGGAAGGTTACAAGCTTCAGCCTGAAAAATATCAATGAGCTGAAGTTGAGAATCAAAACTAAAGAGAGCACCTCTCCCCTTGATTCTCCCAACAAAGAAACTGTTGCCATTTGAATAGATTTTTCTCTTCATCTTTTAGAAATCACAACCTCCATTTTCCAATGACTGTCAGTGTGAGGAAAAAGAATTCCTCTCAACAAAACAGGGACCTTGAACTACTTTCCCTGTTTCTTCAATTACTCCACAAACACTTCCAAACTTTATTTTCTTTAAATGTTAATTGCCCACTTAAAGGTTAGTTTAGTGCAGGTATTGAACCCTGATGCCCTTTCCTTCTTGCCAAAACATAACCTTTCTTTCTTGTCTCATATCATCTCATTAAGTCATTCCAGTATTAGAAGAACATATTAAGGGTTCTTTATGATTAAGTCCATTCAGCCCAATTCAACAAATATTTAGTGAATGGCTAGTGTAAGAGACTTCTTCAGACACTGTGAAGGATAAAAAGATTGACAAAGCATTAATTACCCCATGCCAGGTACTGTACTAAGCATGGAGGATACAAAGAAAGGTGAAACACAAAGTCTCTACCCTCAAGGAGCTCACAGTCTAAAGGGGGAGACAACATGGAAACAACTCTGCACAAACAAGATGTATACAGGATAAATTGGGGGCAGTTTCAAAGGGAAGACCCTACGATTAAGGAGGACTAGGAAAGGCTTCTTGCAGAAGGGGAAACTTTAAAATGAAACTTGAAGCAAGCCAGGGAAGCCAGAAGACAAAGACAAGGAGGGAGAAATTGAGAACAGCCAGCAAAAGTGCTCAGTTTGGGGAGATAGAATGGCATATCAAGTATGGACCAGCCAAGAGAATAGCAAAGAGGCCAGTGCTACTGGATCCCAGAGTACTCAGAGGGTAGCAAGGGTCCAGCTTATAAAAGGCTTTGAAACCCAAACAGAGCATATTTTATTTGATCCTTGACATAACAGGGAGCCAATGGAATTTATTAGTAAGAGAATGATAAGGTCACACCTGCACTTGGGGAAGATTAACTTGATAGCTTAGTGTAGAGTAGATTGGAGAGGTGAGAAATTTGAGGCAAGGAAAACAACCAGTATCTACTGTAATAAACCAGGCATGAATTGATGAGGGCCTAGAGTAGGGTGATAATAGTATCAGAGGAGAGGAGTGTATGAGAAAAGCTGGAAATGACAGAACTTGACCGCTGACTAGATATAGGAGGTGAGAGAGTGAAGAAGTGAGGACAACAACTAGGTTATAAGCCTGGCTGACTAGAAGATGGTGGTGCCTCCTGTGCAGTAATATGGATGTTTTGAAGTGGGGAGGCTTTAGGGTAAGGGGGAAAGATAATCAGTTCAATTTTGGACATGTGGAGTTTAAGATGTTTT